GGATCATTTGGCTCGTCTTATCAGATGGATGCCACTGGGACATGTAGTTTATAAAAGATGTGACCTCCCTACATAGACTGGCCAAAAAGTCTGGGTTAAGCAACAAGAGCAGTGGGGACCCACAGAGGTAGCGTTAGAACTGGGATAGGCAGTCTGAGTTGCAATGTCCAGGCAGCCAGTTCCACAAGTAGTAGAAGAGATATCTTGGCCTCAGGAAGCTCATGGAATGAGAGGGGTGTGGGAACATTCATCTTTCCTCTTTTCATTCCTATAGAAGTTTCTATTGCGATAAAGCACCCTGACAAAAATCAGGATAGCTGTAATGAGAGGAGACAAAATAATGCTACTCAGACATCTCTCAAATTGTCAGGTGACCCTTTTGATACAGGTCCAGATGCAGTCATTCTCTGAAGTCTCCTACTTTGATACTACCTATAATGTGTCAGAAACGACAAGAATGATTACTACTGATCTATATATAGTGGCATTTCGAACCTGGAAGCTCTCTGCAACCATGTGGCAAAAGCAAGCTGAGATTGTATATTATACAACTGATCTAATCAGCATTATGAGAACAAGTCCCTGAAAGATGTCACCTGCACCCCTCTGGGTTATATATTTTCTCTATGGATACCCAAAATGGGCAACAAATGTCAGCCTCCAGGGGAAGGATTTTGTTGCCCAAAGAGTTATAGAACTCACAGTCAAAGTGAGCAACTTCACAGATGCTAGAAAGAACTCACTTTGCTAACACACCACAGAGTGGCTCACAATACCCTCCTGGGAAGATAAACAAACCACTGGTTTCATTCTGTTGTCCAAATTCTAATACCAGATATAGTTACAGAGGGACTAGAAAAAATAGTGTACTACCTGTCCTTAACCATGGCAGAACAGCTAACACTACTGCCCAGCCATCCAAGACAAACAAGACTCATTAAAATTCACCAGTCAAGGTGGTGATGGGTAATCAAATAAATCTGCTGGCAGAACAAGGTCGTGTTGGTGTTATGCCACAATTTCTTGCTGCATGTAATAGTACATTAACAATTCGAGGAACTTAAAAAACTGAGCTGGTAAATACCTATGCTTAGATGGGATGGTTATCAGTTGTAGAGTTTTAGCACCTCCCTCTCACTTTTTGACCTTTAGTTGTCTTAGTCCTGGCATTTGGGGTGCTTGGCAAATACCATTCCAGGGAAGCCTGATCTTCCTCCCAGAGCTAATTCTCCTAATTACCCTTGTAAAGTGCTGCCTCCAAATGACAGAAAGGCTCTATGAGCCATCCAGGTACGGATAGGTTGTCAGCCTTTCAGTAGCTGAGCAGGAATGGGGAGTGGAATATTGACAGTCTCCGGCAAGAAGTCTTTTGACCCCTTCCCCCCTCCTCGCCCACTCCCTGACTGCATATGAATAGGCCTTGGGCCTGGAGCACTCTCTTATCAAGAAATAGAGTCCTCACAGCCTGTGCTGGGTTTATCACCTTTCCTGTTACAGATTCAATATTTGTTCTTTTGTTCTGCTTAAGCCTGTGTGCCATATGGCATCTGGCCAACACTACTAATCTGTCCCCTGAGAGAAGGCTGCCGTAAGTTGACGCCTGGGAGGGACAGTTGGCCATGGTGGACTGACACACACTACTGAAGCTGATCTTGCTTTGCCCCTTCTCTATGTGAGTAAAGCACTGTTCCATCCACTGCTTCCCTGTGTTGTTTTCCTTGGCAGCCCCAATGTCAAGATGCAAAAGTGTTGGAACTTCTACTTCTAGTGACAGACAACAGATGTCATTTACTTGACATATACAGAGCTAGAAAGATTTTGGTGAACTTAAGAGAAACAGAATCTGAAGTGATTCAAAATAAATAAAAGGACTATCTGAAAATAGATGCCACCCAAGCACTAAAAGACTTTGATATGAGAAATCAAGCCTATGCAAGAAGGCAGCAGAAAAATTTTATACAAGTTAAAAATAAAAATAGTCCAGAGCAGTATAGACAAAATGGAAAAGATAGAGAAAGGCATCCTAGTGTCATGAGCATACATACAAAAAAAGATTAAGCTATTTAGTTAAGCTATTAAGCTAACAGAAAGATAATCTCTAATAACTCATTTACTTGTTAGTGTATTTCCACTGACTAAAGCATATACTATAAAACTTATATTAACTGGCAATATTTAAAAGAAGTTTGCCTTATCTAGAGGGCAGGCTGAGTTATAACATCAAAAATTATAAAATCAAGACAATGGATATCAAACTATTACACTGTACACTTAAAACTAATAAAATACTATATGTCAATTTTATCTCAATAAAACTGGAAAAAATGCAACTGATATTTAAAATGTAATCTTCTGGGTAGCTCAGATTGTTAGAGCATCATCCCCATATGACAATGTTGTAGATTCAACCCCCAGTCAGGGCACATATAAGAACTATTGAATGCATAAATAAATGGAACAATAAAATGATGTTTCTCTCTCTCTCTCTCCCTTCCTCCTTTTCTAAAATTAAAAAAATAATAATAAATAATTAATTAATTAAACCTTGGCCAGTATGGCTCAGTTGGATGAGCGTCATCCCATGGACCGAGAGGCCTCCAGTTAGATTCCAGGTCAGCAATATGGTGGTCAAGGCACATGCTGGGGTTTCTGGTTGGATCCCCAGTAGTGGGCATGAAGGAGGTATCCAATGGAAATTCCCCTCTCTCCCTTCATCTCTTAAAAAAACTCACAAAAATGAACAAGTTTTATTTGCTCATTTGAAAAGGCATAGGATGAATCTGAATGCAGAAGCCATACTGTACAGAATGAGCAGTTTCAACCATACTAAAGGAAGAGAAGCAAAGGACTATACTCCTCAGAGGAGTGGGAAAAAAGGACAAGGAGATTAAAGTGGGAATGCTAAAAAAGGAAAATACTAACACCAAGTCTAACTAATGTAATTGGAAATTGCAGGAGACTATAAAGTCATTCTACTAAAAACAGTATTTCTTACGTGATTTTATCAACATCATACAAGAGAAACCCAAATTTTCCTCAACACCATACAGAAAAACCCACCTTTTCCTTTATCTGGACAGAGAATTTCTACAAACAAATGCAGTTTACTGATTTTAAAACGACAGTTTTTTGTCTTTTGATAAATCATATCAAATCAGTATTATTCCCAGAATTTGTGGTCACACATAAATTCTGTTAAAACTGGTGAATGTTATTTAAATTCAGTAGAATACTCTATAAAGGGGTGGGGGAGAAGGAAAACTGGTAAGACAGTGGTGGGAAATAAAATACAGGATTTTACACAAAGAAAACACAGAATCAAGCTTGGAATTTATTAGTGAAGAGAAAAGCAATTGCTAGAGAAGATAAATTTTCAGGGGGAAAAAAATCACTATGTGCTAACAAAATTTTCCTTCAAATGATGTAGGGGAGAAGGACCCCTTTTAATCTTCTATTAAAAATTAGCAATTCTGAAGCTGAGAAATCAACTTGTGAGGATCTTCATATACTGAACTCTCTCTTACAGCAAAAATGGCCTGTAAAACATCCTTCAGACCTTATATTATTACAATTTATATATTTTTGTGGTTTTCAAAATATCTTTGATAATACCTCATACAATTTAAAAAATAAATCACTGGGGAAAACCAAGATGGTGGTGTAGGTAAATGCCAGTACTTGCTGCCTCCCACAACCACATAAAAATTACAAGTAAAATACAGAACCACCATCATTCAGAACCACCTGAAATCTGGCTGACTGGAAATCCTTTAACTACAGAAGTAAGGAAGAAAACACACTGAGATTGGTAGGAGTAGAAATTTTGAATTGGATTTTTTTAAATATCTCCAAGGCCTCCCGGGAGAAACAGGGGTTGCTAGCCTCACATCAGGCCAGGGTTCCAGAGCAGGGAAGAGAAATCCCTGTAACTTGGGGCTGTAAAAACCAATGGGGATTGTGGCTGAGTGAAATGGAAGCTGCTGAAGTCCCTTGCTGACTCTGGGGAAGATAGCTGTCATGTGACGAGTTGCCTTATGGAGAGACCTGCTTGGCAAGGAAAGGAAGTTTGCCAACAGTTAGCAAGGATCTGAGGCAGAATCTGACCCTTTCAAGCTTGGAAATGACTGCAATCCCTGGCCAACACTTTGCAGACTTGTCACAAACCCGGAGGCAGGGTCATACAGCTAAGCTGTATCCACAATGTCAGAAAATAAATGGTTGTTGTTGTTGTTAAAATCCTCTACAAGTTGATAATAGTAAGATAGAAAGAGGCTTACTATATTACAAAATTGGCCTTAAAAATCTAAGAATATAACTGCATTAAAAATAAAATGTCTTCCACTAGCTGTAATAACTTTTAATAATTCAAATAATCTATAATAATAAAAGCATAATGTGTAAATTGACCAAACAACTGAACAGCAGAATGACTATCCCGATGACCATGCTATGACATGCACTGGTGTCAGGCCAGCCAAGGTGGGTGCGATGTATTTGGTTGGGGGGCCCTGCGATCACCCCATGATTGACGGGGTAAGGAAGGGAAGGAAAGCCCTGATAGGCCCTGAATGTTGGTCAGGCCTAGGGACCCTAGCCGAGGGATCTCGGATTGCAAGAGGGCTAAGGCTGGGTTGAAGGACACCCCCCACTACTGTGCACAAATTTTGTACACTGGTTTTCTATTGGAATATAACTTAGTAGATAGTTAAGACACCCATAAGCAGATAGGCCAGGTACAGAAGGTCACCAGGATGGAAAGCCTATGGGCCTAACAACAGGCAAAACTGGGAAAACAAGGACCTCACCCCTAGGGTAACCTTTCTTCCTCTAGAATATTGCTAGTGACACAGTTTAGACCACATGACCTTTCATATTGTTCATCATGTAGTTGGGACATTCCCTGACCACATGTATCATTTTAGATTTCCACACTATTATGAATATTGCCTAGTAATAAGACAAGCATACCTTCTATCAAAGCCTGGAATAGAGTAACTTACCCTATCATGAAGAGTCCAACCAACATATTTTAGGTAACTGTCATTTAGGAAAGCATCACTATACATTTTCATCCATACTCCAATTTCTTCAATACAAATGGCTCTAATCTCAGCAATAGCATCACTAGAGAAGGAAAAAAGAAACAAAAACCTGAATAATATGAAAAGCCAGAACATACTCTGTACTCATATTCAGCAAGCAATAAATATTAACATTATTCATAATATTGTATTTAACATCTGCAGGACTCCAACTTGAGTATCTTCTATTCTTTAATATGGCTCCTGTAGAATAAAAACTACCAATAACAAACTAAAAAATAATGCTTCTGGAAATCATCTTATTTCAGTTCATATATCCATTGAACTAGGCACTTGGAGTTTTCTGAAAACAACTATTATGAAGTCAACATGTTAAAATCTTCTGAGGAAATCAGAGTACCAACATCCAAATACAGAATAATGTAGAGCTAAAAAATTGTTGTTCTAAATAGCTGTGAATCTATCTAAACTGGCACACATGTAATAAAATAAATGAAAGTGATTTTTATGACAAAGACACAAACTAATATATCTATGAGGCAAAATTGCAGAAGCAAATATTATTTGAAAACATAAGCTATTTTGCAAAATCCAAAACCGTAATGTAATTGCACAGGATAGAATTTACATTTAGTCACAATGGAAACAACCTTGGTGACTACACTTTGTAGTGATGGAACCAACCCCAAATGTCAGGTATCTAGGCTCCATGCCCAGATGGCTTCACCTCACTATAAGCACCTGATATAATAATCTGAAATCTTCCTTCTCTCAAATCTGTGAATCATGAGCAAATATAATGTTCATACATTTACCCAATCTTTCAAGAGGTTATTAATTCTGGCTAAAAATAAATAAAATCATACTAAACACAAAATAAATCCCAACTTTCTTTTGTAGATCGTCAAAGTTTCTGATTTATCATACAACTTAAAAATTTAAGATAATTTTAAATTACCCAATTAATATAAATAAATCATCTATTATTTAATTTGGCAATAATTTAGCTGAAATTTTAATATTAACTAAGGAGTTTTTCTTAGTTGCTGTTTTTGTGGTAAAATGGATGTTGGCACTCTTTGCTCTAATTAATCTCAGTTATTTCTAAGTCCCCATCATTCCTTAAAAATAAAAATATGAGAAACCTTCTTTCAAAGCTACATTACTAATCACAATCTTTAGTTTTCCTGTATTATTTGTTGTTAATACCTTTTCTTCATGGAGAGATTCTATAGCATAGAGGCTAATGGTACAGGCTCTGGAGCATGACATCCTGAGTTCAAATCCTGGCTCTGCTATTTACTAGCTGTGTGGCTTTAGGTAAATTACATCCTCTTTCTTAGATTTCATCATCTGTAAAATAGGGATAATAACTGTACTTGGAGCTCACAGAGTTATTGTGAGAATTAAATCACTAATAAAAGTAACACTTAAAAACTGTGACTGGCACTTACTAAACCTTCCATAACTGTTTACTATTATAATTTTTTAAAGTGCCATCACCCTAGTCATTTATAGACAACTAAAGGCCTACTGCATGAACTTGTGGATGGGTGGGGTCCGGTGGGCCCACCCTAATCGGGGGTGGGGGATCAGGGGCAATAGGGGGGCGGCGCCAGCTGGGGGAGGGGCCGTGGCAGTTGGTGGACTGGCCCCGCTCCTTGGTCGAACTCCTGGTCAAGGGGACAATTTGCATATTAGCCTTTTATTATATAGACAATAGTGTATAAAAAGTAGCTTTACTACAATTGCAAAATGATGTTCTAAACCACTATAATATTGAACATAAATGGCTCACGGACATTTATTATTTTTGAAATTTAAAAATTTCAGATGTAAAAGTTATAGAGGCAATAAAAATATTTCAACCGTAGTATTTTAGTTTTTAACTTAGCTCAATGCTTACTATATATCTCTTACTGATGCAATTCCCTCCCCAAGAATAAATAAATATATATATTTTATTGATTTTTTATTGAGAGGAAGAGAAAGAGAGTTAGAGACATCGATGACAGAGAATCATCGACCAGCTGCCTCTTGCTGTGCCCGCAACCAAGGTACATGCCCCAACCAGAATCGAACCTGGGACCTTACAGTCCGCAGACCAACACTCTATTCACTGCACTGAGCCAAACGGTTTCGGCTAAATGACTATTCTTGGATGACTATAATTCCCATTTGTATCTTCATGCTTTAAATTTTTATGTACTGTTTTATGTATTTGAAACATTACATAATTAATATCCTATAGATCTCCCTTCAATTTGCTTTTTCAAAAATTGGACAGGTTTTGTTTTGTTTTAATTCTCACCTGTGGATATATTTTAGAGGAAGGGAGAGAAAGAGAGAAATATCAATTGGTTGTTTCCCAGCCAGGGATCAAATCCACAACCTAGGTATGTGCCCTGACTGAGAATTGAATCTGCAACCTTTTGGTGTATGGGACAATGCTCCAACAAACAAAGACACCCAATCAGGGCCATACTATGTTTAGACATACATACTGATTCACATAGCTCTAGTTCCAATATATTAATTTTTACTAACGTTTAGTGACCCTTTCTACAAATACTTTACCAATTATTTATACATTCTCACTGACACACATCTAAGTTGTTTTTAAGTTTTTGCTTTATTAACAATGAATGCCAGGAACATTCTTAAGTCTCCTGTGCACATGTGTGAGTTTCCCTAGAGTCGTGTTTCTCAGGCAGTGTATCACTACCTATGGGCACATTATGAAATAAACTGAGCGGTAACAAAAATATAAAAACATTTAGGATAGAAAATATTAAAACAATTCACATGTGGCAAGGCACTAAGTTTTTTTTCATGGAAGACTGTGTACATGATGTAGGACATGATCAACTAAGCCTATGAGGCACTGTTTTATAGTATCTGAGAAGTGAAATTACTAGGTGAGAAAGAGTACACATTTTCAGTTTTATTACCATTTCCCCGAAAATAAGACAGTGTCTTATATAATTTTTCCTCCCAAAGTTGCGCTAGGTCTTATTTTCAGGGGATGTCTTATTTTCGGGGAAACACGGGTAGTATTAACCAATTTCTTCATAAATCAATGCTTCATACATCCCTGTCTATTACTTGGTACTATTTAATATAAATTTCCAACTTTGTAAAGTGCAAATTGATGTACTTTGTCTTCTACTGGCTGTCCATATAAAAACAAACAGAAAATAACAGCAGCAAAAATAAAACAGCCCCCCTCCAAAAAACAAAATACAACCTCTAAACAACTAAATCACAACATTTTATTAGCTTTCTCAGTCCTATTCAGTAGTCATCACCCAGAGATCCACTGGATTTATTCTCTGCTGTGTTCTATTACCTTTAAAAAATTAATTCTAAAACAAACACAAAAAATCAAGACACAAAAAACTAGGCTACCCTTTTTACCACACAAATTTCAGAAGCTCAGACTGAGAACAAGATAAATAGGTATAACACAATAATTAAAACTATAGAGACGACTAAGCATGGTAGCTTCACATATACACAGCTCATTCATTACCATTGGCATTACCATTACGAATGATATTGAGATTATGGGTGGCTAATTCCTAAGGCTAGAGAATATAAAGGTTTAGCTTTATTTCAGAAGGAAAACCTTTTTCACACTATCTTTTATAACCATCTCTAAGTCTCATTTCTAATATCTTTTTATCTTGCCTACTATACTTCTAAAGAGCCTTGGAAAATGGCTCTTTTCTGTATGCACCACCAACATTTTAACAGCTTTCTTGACCTCTAGGAACTAACATTCTATTTAAGTATTAGGTCTAGTAATAATTAATGTCGTTTTCTAATACCTTTTTTAAATCAAATTTATTTAAACAATACAACAAAATTTAATCAACAATATAGTTGCCATTGTTTTCTACTACTTGTGCCCAACGCTCAGGAAGCATTTTAATCCCTCTGTTGTAAAATTCTTGTGATTTTGATGCAAAAAATTCGGTCAATGCATTTTTGAGGCATTCTTCATTATTAAATTTTTTTCCAAGAAGAAAGTTTTGCAAAGAACGAAACAAATGGGAATCGGAAGGGGCAATATCAGGAGAATATGCAGGTTGAGGGAGAACTTCCCATTCCAACTGGCGCAGTTTTTCAGCAGTGATTCTTGCAGTATGCGGTCGTGCGTTATCGTGGTGAAGAATTACACCCTTCCGATTAATCAGCGCGGGTTCTTTTTCTCTTAAAGCTTGGGCTAACCTTTCCAATTGGGCACTATACACTGCACTTGTAATGGTTTGGTTAGATGGTAAACGTTCATAATGAAGAATTCCTTTAAAATTCCACCAAACACACAACATCACTTTTTTCGCATGCAAGTCAGGTTTTGGCGTGGGCTGCGGAGCCTCATTTTTGTCCAACCATTGAGGCCGCCTTTTCAAATTAACATACAGCACCCATTTTTCATCTCTGGTAACAATTTGCTCTAAAAACGGCAAACGATTTTGACGAGAGAGGAGCGAACTGCAAATTGTGACTCTTCGATTACGGTTGTTGTCGGTCAACTCATGAGGAACCCATTTTCCAAACTTTTGGACTTTGCCAAGTGCACGCAATTGATTGGAAATTGTTTTTTGTGAACAATTTAAAGTTGTCGTAAGCTCTTGTTGGGTAATTTGAGGATTTTGCACCAAAAGAGCTTGAAGAGCTTCTTGATCAAAATTGGACACACGGCCTTGACCACTCTTGTCATCTAACGAAAAATTTCCCTCGCGAAATTTCTCAAACCAACGCTGGCATTTTCTGGCGCTAACTGCATCTTGACCAAGAGCACTACAGATGTTTTTTGCAGCCTCACTTGCTTTTCTTCCTAATTGGAACTCGTAAAGCATGCAATGCCGAATATGCTCTTCATCCGCCATCTTCTTAGCCCTAGTTTTGCAACAAAAACCAAACCAAACACAAACTTTTTCAAGCAAAACTTGTTAATTGCCCTTTACACGTTCTGTAGATACCACGTGTTTGAAGGTTATGTCAATATAAGTCAACGCCAAGCAAGATTTTAAACGAATGTTTTAAAACGACATTGATTATTACTAGACCCGACAG